TTACAGTTACAGTTACTTTTCTTCAATAACTGTAACTTAACTTTGTTACTTTCTTTTCATGTGTAACTGTAACTTAACTTAAATTTTTTAAGTACGAGTAACTAGTAACTAATTTAATAGTTACTTTTACAGTTACTTTATATATATCAAATCGTCACTTTCATGGATCAAATTTATGCAACACTTTCGCTCAATCACCTAATTGTAATGTTGATTGTAATTATGCGAAATATTTTAATGTATTCAACAGTTCAATATTATACACATACATTTTTAATAGAGATATTGTCAATTGTAATTAATTTTATTTCTAATAGCGACATGATGTAATTATCTCCGTGTTCTTGGGTATACGCCGCCCTCCTCTCTGAATAATATTCCGCGGCAAAGGTAAGCACGCATTAAACGTGCTTTCTCTCTTAACAGATAACCGTCCACTGCCTGGGAGACGAGGCGACGTTACGGAGATGGCTGGTCTACGATCCCCGTCAGAGGGTACAGGGCTGGAGGTTCGCCTCCTACATGCTGTTGCACTCAAACGCACTTCACCTCGCACTCAACGTGGTCATTCAGCTGGTCCTGGCTACTCCACTCGAGGTGAGCCAATCAAGTAAATTGCGGTGATGTCGTTCAGTTGGCGCGTTGAGACACCGCGTTTAAGGGAACGAGCCCCTCCTTTCGATGACGATCCTTTTTGCCCACGATTACTCCAGATAACCTTCCCATACCGTCGAATTAAAACGCTCTTCGTCATACCGTTAATTCAACGTATCTACAGAATATTTAGAATGACATAATATTAAGAGGAAGTGCGATAAAGAATATTGAGAGAAAGAGAGAGAGAGAGTAAAAATAAAATTTTTTGAGAGATATTGTATGATGATCGATTTGTAACATCACTTATTATGCTTTATCTTTTTGCGCATTATATAATAGATCAAACTACTAAGATAAGAAACGTCTAATATATCAAAGCAAATATTGGCGCTTAATAATATTTATGTGTGAATCTTACAATGCCCAATTCAAAAAAACTGCACGCCAAATATTTTTGTCGGTCTTGAAACTTGAAACACAACTCTAAATTGAATCCGGAATACATAATATTATAATTAAATTGACAAGCAATTCAATAATTTTGATACTAATGAGTAGGGGAAAGTCGGGGTAGTATCGAACAGCGATAGTATCGGACAAGAGTTGTTTCAAGCATTTACCGCTAGAGATAGTACCTGTGAGACAATCGGCGTGTTGATTGAAGGATGGGGGTACGGATGACGCAATATTAGAACAGACGGCAGTGATGTTGCTAAATGGCAATAAATTTTGTCTTTTGAACCGCTATTTTGAGTGAACAAAGTTAACTTCTAGCTTTTGTATCTTGTCTGAAAGTAAATATAAATAGGTTTTTAGTTTATGGTTAGAAACAAAATTTATTATCTTTTAACTGGTAGGCTATAAATCTCGTTAGGCTTACTAATAACGTCTTATAAGTTAGCAGAACAAAATGAGCAGAATCAATTCTAACTAGTGAAATTATTTGTTGCTCATTTGTTGCTAAAAAGTTGCCAAAGAAAATAATTTGTTGCTCTATTAGTTTTTTTTAAAAATGATGTTCTGCTAAAGGAAGATTAAGTTAGCAGAACAATATATATATGACAACAAAATTATGCATAAAAATAACGTCAGAATTTGTTGCTAATTTGTTGCTCACGAAATATGTTAGTTTTGATTTAATTACTCGCAAAATAAACATAAACAATAG